TTGCTTATTTTTTAAAGATACCTGCATATTTAATTAAATATCCTTTAAGGCATAAAATATCTGCAAATTAAGATTATATACAAAAATGCATGTTCTGGGTGTTCCCATGATTCCTTTTCTATCATTTATTTTTCTTTGAGACTGGAATCTGATTCCTTTTGGGATGAGCCCCCAGTTTCAGAGGCTTCTTTGGAGGTGACATAGAAAAGTATAAATTCTGTAAAATAGATGCGAGGGGGCTTTGGACCATAAAGTTACCTTAATTCTATTTTTCATATAGCAGATATGTGATATGCAATGTGATTTAATATATCAGAGTATTATCACTTTAAATGACACTGCATTTTTTATATGCAATATTCTTTATGCACTATTATTTTATTTTTATTTTTTTCTTAAATTTTAATGTCTGTTAAGAATATTGCAGGCTTTGTAATATCAAATTAATTTAGCATTATATATATATTCACAATGCTCTTACAACATTTATTATTAAAATTAGCCTCTTTCAGAATTGTAGAATATATGGTGGAACTGAATCCCCATATGAGATTTAAAACTGTATTTTTTATTTCTACGCTGTGCCCTAATCTGTATTTATATACATAATTGCAGCAGCATATAGCTTTTAAAGAAGCACTTATTTCACCCTTCATGTATGGTTGACTGTGGACTTTTTAAAAACCTACTTTATTTTTTTAAATCCATTTCTGGCTCTGAGAGAGCAGGCTGCTGAATGCATGTAAATGCTGTTATTGCCTAGTCTATATACATTTATTTATAAACAACATTGATATATTTATATATAAACAACTTTGATATTTAATCTTATTTTATATTATTTTATGAAAACCTAGTTTATGAAATTCACTGAGATTACATGTGTCTGATCTGATTACAGTCAGTAGTACAATATCATTGTTCTAATTTCCTTACTGCTAGTACGGTGGGATAGTACCACTGATTTAAGTAAGCTTTCCCTTTTAAAATTGGTGGACTTTACTGCCATTGCAATAGACTAAAGACTGTACCTGAGTAAGCAAAGTCATTATGTGCAGGAATTGTGCACTTTAAATAGTAGAATACTTATGTTATTCTAGTGAATTGGGCTGGCTGCTTAACACATCATTTAATATATTTTGGTTACATTTAAAGCTGTAAAAGTATTTAACATTTTATTTAAATAAGCCTTTAATAATTTCAGTTTAAAAGTTATCAGAAATCCTGTATAGTTACAATTGTATTTTGCCCTGATTTATCTTGCATATATATTATTTTTAATCATTTTATAAATATGTATTTTTGCAGAGCATTTAGAGAAGCAAAGGATGTTTAACCACCTGTTGCCCTTTCTTCTAGGAGGGTAGAATAATTTCAACTCTGTTTAGGAAAAAACATGAGCTAGTTAGCATATGTTATATTAAATACATGCTGCAGTGTACTGCATTGTACTGCACTGAATTTATTTAAAAGCCATGTCTTTCTCTTTATGGCTGTATGTAATAATGTTGTTCATAATTTGGAATATAAAACAACTTCTCAATTCCTTGGAATGTTTACATGTCTCTGTATCTCCGCAACCTTGGCTGGAAACTCCAGATTCCAAAAATAGTTATGCTGTTATAATTCCTGATTTTCAATCAACAGCTAGTGTAACTGACAATATGGAAATTATCACTGTTTTATAAAACTTTTCTTATATAGTGGACTGTCGCTTCTGTGTCATGAATGTTTTCATTAAGTCGTAATGCAATTTTCTTTGCATTCTTGGAATTAGACTTCAAATTTCATCGCTCTGTCTTATCACTTCTCTTTTGACAATATTTAGCATTAATCTTTTTCCTGCGCATGCATACTAAGCAGCTACAAAGAGAACATGTCCCTCTGTCTGCAATCCACTGTCCTGGAACTAATGGGCCATGCTGTGCTGGTGTATTAGGCATATCAGGGAGTTTATCAAATATGTATATTTGTTCTATTAGGATATTAATTAAGATCCACAATTTCAGCATTGTATACCAATTACAATGTACCTGGCACCTAAACTTAAAGTGCCTTGTACAAGTTCACATTAAAATTCTCTGTGACGAGAGCAATCTCGCCACATTGCATTGGAGAAGCCTGGTTGCTAGCCTGTTGCCTTTGGATTATGGTCCCATGTTAAAAGACCTCTTTTCCTCTGCAGAAAATACTTATTCGTGCTTTTCTGCCCGGTGTTCGGTAGATTCAATCTACTGAACAACCGCATGAATGACTGGACCGCCTGGTAGCTGGAATGTGTCAGCGATTTACCTCCCAGAAGCTGCGGTTAACCGCAGCTTAATTGACAATTACTGGGTGGTCGCGGTTACACCTAACCGCCACACGATGGCGGTATTATGGAAGCTCCCTGGGTAGCCAGCGCTTGTGCTACCCAGCAGCAGGACACCAAAAGCGGCCACTTTTGTCTTCCAAGCCCCGCTGAAGCTGGAAGTCTACAAACCCGTTCGGAAACCGAACAACGGAGCATTCGAGACTTTTAGTGTTACAATGTATTCGGTGTGAAAGTACCCAGATAGCCATGGAGCCTGTTCGTGGAATTAAAGACTTTGGCTCCATGGCGATTAAACTGTATTCGTGTTGTCTGAGCGTCATTCGCTTAATAATGTGCGCTCAGACCTGAGTTATCTGGGGCTATGTTAAATGTGTATATTTAGTGTAACTTTTGTCGCATAGTGTATTTTAACAGTAATCCCTATTTTAGTATCCACACGTGCATAATGGCAATTTGCCTTTGTCCTGGGAGATGATTGAATTACTTCTCAATTATCTCCAGGACAGAGGGGAGGAAGCCAGGATGCATTGTGGGAATATAATGTGACTGTGTGTCCTGAATTGCTGCTTGTCTGTCCTGTGTTACAGTCTCCCATTTGGTCCCCTAGGGGAGTGTCCACCAGGTGGGAGACCTGCATAAATACTGGGCAGGTAGCCCTCATTAAACAGACCAGTGCTTGACCCTCAACACGGAGCCTTGTCTCGTCTTTGGGGGGGGATTTACTGAATGCTGCTAGAGACTGATTGCTTGGAGTGTAAGCCGCTTGGGTGCTTTTCCTATTCGTCTGCTAGCAACTATTCGGGAGTTACCAGTTCGGGAGTTTGGAGTGCTATTTTGTATCCAGTTCGGGACTTTAGAGCATTCCCTTACATGCGGTTCGGGAGTTTGGTGTTCTGCAGTAACTGTGCCTGTATATCTGGAAGGAGAAGATCGCCTAAACAGTTTTAACCCCTTGTGTGCTGAAACGGTCCGTTACATCCTCTCTACATGATGAAGATTTTTCTCTGAGTCTGGGCTACAAATAGCTCATTAGATTCTTGATATTTCAAGACTTGTGCCATGACAAAATATTGTGTCTTCTCTTACGAATAAGAGGTTACCTAGGTATTTATTATTTTATAGTTAAAGCTTCCAAGTACAAGTCCCTTCGTGGTTGCCAGTTGTAACCGCAGGTGGTTCCCTTTTTTACCACTATAATGTCTTAAAGCATAGAACTTAGTAGGGCTAACCATACAGATATCTTAGCCATAATTTTATATAGTTAGTAAGAGATCCTCTATTTAACATATATAAATAATTGAGAATACAATATAAAATAAGGATTGTCTTGGAAGCAATAACGTTTTGTCTTTTTGGTATTTATTATATAAAAATATAAATATAGACATATAAAATCCATTATAGCAGAGTTTATAAGATTAAATTGAATGCTTGCAAATATCATTAATAGGTTAACATACCCTTCTGAACATGTCATCATGTCAGCCTCTCTGTCATTTTAAGATGGAGCAGTGTCTGTCTCCAAGTCTCTCCTCTGTGTCTTAACATTTAAAAGTACACCTATTTATCTTCATTTTAGGGTTACCGTAGTTCATATATAAAAAAGTAACACTTCTTTTACTTTATTCATTTTAGGACCTCCCTTAACTTGGCAAACATACAAAGCCATAATTAAAGGGTACATACGTCATGGAAATTTTCCTGACTTAGTTCAAGATGGCATCTTAAAGTCTGAATAGCTTATCTTTTGTTTATACTAAGATGTAAGTGCACAGTCGTGGGAGATTCCCGGATTTGGGGAAGTTCCATTAACTTGGGGTTACCACAGTATATTGTGTACTGAAAGAGTCATAGCCTTGAAGCTTGTTTATGCATTATTATTATTGTAATTCGTCTGGGACAAAATGGCGCAAACATATTATGCACTGAGGTTATTGCTTAAAGAAACCGTTATGAAAAACAATATGTTCCATTTCTAACACCTTGTCAGTTTGCAATATCTCTTAAAGACAAAGTACACGGTTTAAGAAATACATTTCATTCTAAAACTTGTAATATTTGCATTTGCCCATAACAGTGTGCGCTTGTGTAGTGAATGCATTGTGTTTGTGAATATCCTATGGATACATTGTTTGTAAATATGTTGTGTAAAATAGTGGCTGCATTTGTTTTTTGTTTATTTATTTTTTATTACTTTTTATTTTATTACCCCCTCCCTGCTTTTACCTTTGTCCAGGGAGAGGGGAGATTAGATTCCCTGGCGATCCAGTGGCTTGAATGCTGCAAAGAGGGCAGACCAGAGCCCTCTTCCCTTTCCAGTTGCTCCTCTCTCTCCAACTCTCATGAGTCTGGCGTTTGAGCCACGCTGAACATTGTCATGGCAATGCTTCTATGGCCACAGAGCTCACGTAATTTAAAGAAACATTCAGCTGGAAAGCGAAGATGGTGCTGGCTGAGGCCTCTCTGCTATATATATATATATATATATATATATATAAATATAGATATGTGCACATTGTGACTGTGGGCCCAGTTATATTTCCCATTGCATGAGTCATGCCTTAATATCAGCCCTGTGTATCACATTCAAAACACAAGATATTTATTCCAATGTTTATCTATCGATATCTCATAAAACCTTAAAAATTTCTATAACAGTTTTCAGATTCAGAACACAACACCATTTCTATTCTGTGTGAGATCTCTGGTGTTAAACAAGATTTACATGATGACTAAAGCATTTCTCACATTCAGGACATGAGCACGATTGTTCTCCTGTGTGTGTTCTCTGATGTGTTACAAAATTTGATTTATTGAGAAAACATTTCCCACATTCACTACATGAAAAAGGTTTCTCTCATCTGTGAACTTTTTGATGGCTAGCAAGGCTTGAGTGTCGATTAAAACATTTCCCACATTCAGAACATGAGAAAGGTTTCTCTCCTGTGTGAATTTTTTGATGTTTCACAAGATATCCTTTACGAGCAAAACATTTCCCACATTCACTACATGAAAAAGGTTTCTCTCCTGTGTGAACTCTTTGATGGCGAGCAAGGCTTGAATGTCGATTAAAACATTTCCCACATTCAGGACAAGAAAAAGGTTTCTCTCCTGTGTGAACTCTTTGATGGCTAGCAAGGCTTGAGTGTTGATTAAAACATTTCCCACATTCAGGACATGAATAAGGTTTCTCTCCTGTGTGAACCCTTTGATGGCTAGCAAGGCTTGAGTGTCGATTAAAACATTTCCCACATTCAGGACATGAAAAAGGTTTCTCTCCTGTGTGAGTTCTCTGATGTACAACAAGAGATGAGCGTAGTTTAAAACATTTCCCACATTCTCTACATGAAAATGGTTTCTCTCCTGTGTGCTCTCTCTGATGTTTAACAAGATGTGAGTTTGAGATAAAACATTTTTCACATTCACTACATGAGAAGGGTTTCTCTCCTGTGTGAATTCTCTGATGTACAACAAGATGTGAGTTCGAAATAAAACATTTTTCACATTCACTACATGTAAAAGGTTTCTCTCCTGTGTGCTTTCTCTGATGTTTAACAAGATATGAGTTTGAGAAAAAACATTTATCACATTCACTACATGAAAATGGTTTCTCTCCTGTGTGACTTCTCTGATGAACAACAAGATTTGTGCGCACTTTAAAACATTTCCCACATTCACTACATGAAAAAGGTTTCTCCCCTGTGTGCTTTCTCTGATGTTTAACAAGATGTGAGTTCAAGATAAAACATTTTTTACATTCACTACATGAAAAAGGTTTCTCTCCTGTGTGCATTCTCTGATGTATAACAAGATGTGAGCGCGAGATAAAACATTTTTCACATTCACTACATGAAAAAGGTTTCTCTCCTGTGTGAGTTCTCTGATGTATAACAAGATAAGAGTTCGACCTAAAATATTTCCCACATTCAGAACATAAAATCATTTTTTGGTTTTCCATTTATCTAATTTGTAGACGTACAGGATTCCAAGAAGTTCATTGATTTTTGACAGTTATAAATCTCGGTGCTTTTATTAAGAGATTTCTTCTTACTCTTGGTTAGTGTATTTCTGTTCCGGTCACGTGCATCAGGATAATTTTTGCTGATGATAGTACCTGGAAGAAATGGACTGTGATTAATAGAAATCCTGTTACAATAAATCATTTCTTGTTTACCATACTTTGAAAAACTGAAACCATTTTCTTGAAAGATCTGAAATGCGAGCATGAAGCTTCACATTGATTGAGAAGGACCTTTTTTGTGTGTTTTAATTATCTCTCTATCAAAACTTAATTTCATTTGGTTTTGCAAAATGTCATTTAGTCTATCGCCTCACTTAACTATATTTATACATTTATAACAATTACAGGCTTTTAGAGAAAGATCTCAGTGAGGAACTTATTCCACCATGTCCACCATCTGCAACTATCCTGAAAATGAGTTTCTCCCACCTCCCCACCTTCTACACAGTAAAGGATTCGAAACTCACAGAATGCCTACTGTCAGGAAAAAGGGGTGAATAGTTTCCTTACCTATACCTCTCAGCATGACATTAGCATTGCAGACATTGTTGCAAAACCTTTTTAAATTCCTTCATTTTAGAGATATGTGATTTAACTGTGCTTACCGTATATGGGAATTATGACTCAATTCAGGCAGTTTTTCCCATTCTGTCTAATTAGTAAACTGTACTGCTAGGGATGCTATCAATCAGGATATTTGACCATTTATATTGATTTGATTTTGTCATACCTACCGTAAGTGAGAAAACTGTATGTTTACTTTTCTATTTACAAATATTTCAGACAAGGTTTTCAAACATTGGAAGAGAAAAGATACTGTATACAGTCTAAAGTTTTTCACTTTCCTAATATCTCTATAAAGAATTAATAATAATAAAAGTATGGATGATAATATAAATAAAAGGAAAATATGTAAATTTGAACAATTTTAATTATGTTTGAATAGCAACTTATACAGAAAATGTATGTTTTATTAAAACTTGCAACCCTGGGGGGATGATTATATTGGTTGTGTTTGTACTATTGCTCAGGGTATGATAATTTTATTCCCTCATGTGGTCTGTAGTGCTTATGGTGTCTGGTGCAGTTCTGATGGTCCTTGGTGAGCACTAGGAGCATCGATTGACGGAGGGTCGTCAAATTTGATGGCAGCGGTGGGATGGCTTCCTAGTGAGAGCAACAGCATCCTAGAGACAACAGAATCGTACAGATTTATATGGAGGGATAGAGCCCGCCACTGTGCAGCATCCCTCCCTACAGCGATATGGAGCCAGCTGGTCACTGGACAGCACTCAAAGTGGAGGAGTTTTACTGGAGAGTGCAGAACCTCTTGGACAGACAGGATGGGCCAGTATCAGAGGCGGCCATGCTGAACTACAGAGAGGAGGCAAGAACGGAGCTTTGGGAAGAAGTGCTGGAGAGTGTACAGCTTTGGCGTGATGAACGTCATCCCAGGAGGCAGCAGCGACTACAGGCCCGAGTGGCAATGAGGATGCCTCTTCTTGGTGAGCAGCCCCAGGGGAGTGGGTGAAGAAACTAGATATACTAGTGTGGAGGGAACTGTACCTCGACGACACGTGCCAGGCTCTATGGTGGTACGCTGTCCAGCGTGTTCCAGAGATGGCCAATTACGAAAACCCTGAGGGCAAGGATTACGATGGCCCTGGCTTGTTCTGGGAAATATTTACCAACCCAGACTTCGGGAGAACTACAGCGTCTTGCTTCTGGGACACCCATGACTACCGTGAAGCCATGCTGGATCTCCCTAACGTGATCGACCTAGAACCAGACCTGATCCATCTGACCACACGGGAATGGGATTTGGAGCAAGATTTCCAACATCTGCTCAGCTCCAGTCAGTCCCAACGTACCCTGGAGGTACTGCAGGAGAGCAGGGTGGCAGATCCAGGCCTAGAGCCCTTCAACTGCGAGGACATCAAAGGCTGGACCCCCAGATGGTAGGTGGAGATGGGGCCGTGGTTCCTCGCAGTTTCCAGTCGGTCTTCCAGCGGCACTTAGCCGCGATTCTATGGAACTGTTCTGGGCTGTTCCTTAAATTTTCTGAACCTCTGATCTGATTTGGGTGATTTTTGCTTATGTTGTTCACCCAGGTCAGGCTATCAGGGGATGTAAGATTTATGGGGATATGTTATGTTTTAAGGTACTTATAGGACTTTATAAAAATGTGTGTTTTTTCTGCCTGTGGATAATTAAGTTAATGCATTAACTACCTTAATTATATCACAGGCAGAGGGGAGGGAATGTTTACTGTATGTGGGAGTGTGGTACTGTTAATTACTGTTTTCACTGGTTTACGTCCCTTGTGTCTCTGTCCTCCATCAGTTCCAGTGGGTGTGCCTCTGGCCTGAAAAACTGTATAAAAATCCAACCTGTACCATTAAACTCACACAAGATTTTGGAAAGGAACAGAGGAAGGATCCCATCCTAGGTGGGTATAGACGCGCAGCAGACGAACCCCAGAGAGACTTAGGTCAGGAACGGTTCCTGTGGGAGAAGGGACTATTGTACAGGGTGAAAGGAGGAACCGGGGAGGGGGACTGAATTCCCTTTTCCCATAATAATAGTACAACAATAATCCACAGGTTACAATATCGCTGGTGTTGCATAATAACCCACACATGAGCCAAACCTTAATGCTGGGACAAGACTGGTTTTAAAGGAACACTATACTGTCAGCAAAACAAAGTGGTTTTCCTGACACTATAGTACCCTGAGGGTGCCCCCACCGTCAGGGTGCCCCTCCCGTGGCGCGTGGTTAAAACCCCTGCAGTCGCTCACCTAATTCCAGCGCCGGGCTCCCTTACCTCTCCTCCGTCGCTGATGTCAGCATCCTCGTCCGACGTCACAGGAGCCGAATGCGCGTGCGCGGCCATTCAAAGTGTCGATAGGAAAGCATTTTTCAATGCTTTCCTATGGACGCTCTGCATGATTGAGGAATAATATGCCTCCAGCATTGCAGATGCGCCTCTAGTGGCTGTCCAGAAGTTTCTCTGAAACTGCTATGTTTGCATCTGAAGGGTTAAAACCTGAGCTGAAGTGGTCTGGGTGACTATAGTGTCCCTTTAATGCAAAACAGGCATTCACTTTATGAGCCAGAAAGATAATTGAGTCAGAGAAAGTACTAAACTCAATTATCTTCTGGTCAGAAAAGGTTACAATTTACACATCACCCTGAAATACCCCCGAAATACATGGGAACCCCACAAAAATCACATCCAGGGTAGGGAACAATATATCCGAAAGTCAGGCAGATCTGTTTGGTAGTTCACGATCGGCACTACAGGGAGATTTGACCGTTCTGTCACGAGGGTGAAGCCCAGAAATAGTTCCATGAAAAATATAGAAAGAGCTGATCTCCGTTTGTGGGGTTTTTCACGAAAAATCACAGAAAGTAAAGTAAAGCTGTGTTCGGTATTCAGGAACTCCCGAACGCTGTTCGTCTAAGTGAATGGAAAGAAGAACGTAGAGTGGATCCATGAAGACCGGTGTTCGTAAGAGTACCTGGCCGAAAATAATTCCAGGCACTCAACGACCAACTCCCGCTGGCAGCGTTCGGGAGACAAGATGGCGGCCATCCATTGTTCTCACCACTTGTATTCGTATGCATGAAATGGTGGTCAACCAGGGGAGCATTCGACTAATGATTTTTCCTGTGGTTTTCATACAAGATACACAATGTTGTAATTGGTCTCTGGGGTGTTCTCTATTCGGGAACCGAACAAACTGATGAATGAACAGGATAACAAAACAAATGTAAGTAGCCCAACAGTGATGGGGCATCCCTTACACTCAATGGCCGCATTACTGACCTCCCTAAGTAGTAGTTTCCGGCTCAAATAAGCCACTGGGTGCTCCCCACCGTCTTCTCTGATTTGACTTAGACCAAACATGGAAGTGTCTGTATGGATGATAAAGCATTTGTTAGGATCTGGGACAGCTAAGACAGGTGCATTAACAAGGGCTTGTTTCAGAGCTTGGAAAGCCACCGCACACTCCTGGGACCACAGGACCTGTCAGGGTAACTTCTTCTTAGCCAAGTCAGTCAGGGGTTTGGCCATGGTGCTATAGACTGGTACAAAGCACCTATAGTAGCTGGCTGTCCCTAGTAGTGGGAGTGGGCCAATTAGCAATGGCCTCAATCTTTTGTACTTCAGCCATACCAATGTGACACTTGTCAGGCTTCAAGGTTAAGCCGGCTCCCCTAATCCTATCCAATAGTGTTCCTATGTGGTCTAGGTAAGACTCCCAGGTGTCACTAAAAATAGCAATGTCGTCCAGGTATGCACATGCATAGTCCTGGAGACCATCTAGAAGGCAGTCCACCATCCGTTTGAAGGTGGTTGGTGCGTTCTTCATCCCAAACGGCATAACCCGAAACTGGTATAGGCCAAACGGGGTGATGAAAGCCGACTTCGGGATGGCTTCTTTGGCTAAGGGAATCTGCCAATATCCCTTACAAAGGTCGGTATTGGTCAGATATTGTCTTAGATATACGGTCGAGCAGTTCATCCACCCAAGGAATTGGGCAAGTGTCTGTGACTGTTTTTTCTTAGAGACGCCTGTAGTCGACACAAAAACGGGTCGTGTCATCCCGTTTTGGCACCAAAACCACAGGAGAAGCCAAAGGACTCTCAGAGTTTTCAGTTACCCCTAATCGAATCAACTAATTTATCTCTTTCCGCATCCCTTCCTTCACAGCTTCTGGAATGCGGTGCAGGGGTTGTTTCAAGGGAGCCTGGCCTGGTGTCTCTACTTTATGAACAGCTAATGGGTTATATCCAGGTTCCTGAGAAAAAGTGGCTTGTTTGACTTCCAGAAGGTGGGTTCTTGGGGCCCTAGCTGTTCCCCCAATTGGACCAACTCTATGCCGCTTGTTCCTGGGTCACCTCCTAACATGTCAGGTAAGGGAAGGGCTTTAGTATCCTTACACGCTGGGGCATATACTGCAGTTACTTCCTCGGCCCTTTCTTTATACTCTTTGAGCATGTTGATGTGAAACATCCATATCACAGCTTCATCCTCGCAACTGGCCACTACGTACGTGGTATCACATATTTGCCCAATGACC